CCCCTCTAGTGTATCAGCCCCACGCTTCGAAGAGCTCCCCTGTGCACCGAACCTGAGTCTTCAGCAGGGTCCTTCCAGTCTAGAGCCCAGCACTCCCAGCATTCCCCCTGTACTGCCCGGGAATCTTGGGGCTTTAGGTTGCCATGGAAACACCTCCACCACAGGAAAAGAGGGGGAGCTCCAAAGAGAGGTGACGGAGGAGTGTTGCTGGGGACGCCAAAGTGGGACCCAGCGCCTCCACTCTCTACTGTGCGTCCCGGGCAGGCTGCTTCCTGGCCCTGAGCTTCCGTTTCACCTGCAGAACTTTCTCTGCATCTGCTGTAGGTCTCTCCCTCCCCCATTCCTCCCTTCCTTGCTCTTGAGATTTCCACAAAATGCCTCCAATTTCCCAGAGTATTCTAGATCCAGACAGGGACCTGAGGGCGCTCCAGTGAGCGAGCTGCTGCCTCGGGGCGTCCCATGTATTTCCCTCCAAGCTTTTCTGAGCCTCAGTTTTCCCATTCTGTAACATGGGGAGGAAAAACACAAGGCTGCCTCTCGCATGAGGCTGCTGGGAGGACTTACAGGATTGTCAGAGCTGGGTGCACCAATTCCTTCTGATTAGTCTGACTCTGGCAAGTGCAGGGCAGAGAGGCGAGGTCTTGATTTGCGGGTTTCGGAGCCAAGGAAAGTGCTGGGAGCAGGGCAGTATGTGTACAGCCTCAGATAAAGCCTTGTGGAAGATGAACAGAGTGTGGCGGGGGAGGGGCGACCTGTAGGTTAGACTGAGGCGCCTCCGCCCAGTCCCTCAGTGTCCCTCTTCTCGCCTGGAGTTTCTCCAGACACCAAGAGCCTGGGGGCTGAGCTTCTACCAGCTCCAGCTGGCCCGACACCGCCAGGGTTTCCAGCCCCCAGCTGGAGACCCTCCATCCGGGGAGTTCCGCCTCCAGGTGATCGATTTGGGCTATAACCCGAGACTACAAGGGCTTGCTGGCTCTCCAGAGTTCAGCCGGTCCCAGTGACCCTCCCCCCCACCTCCCAGGTCTGGGCTAGAACCCGCGGCTCAGCCTGCCCCGGTGCTCACCAGCTGCTCTGGCTTCTTCCCTCCCGATGTTGTTTGGGTTTTAATTTTTGTGTTGCAGTTAGAAAATTACCCATAATTACAGCTTCTGCGAGGAAACGTCTCATGGCGCAGACCCTGCTCCCAGCTGTGGTCGCCTCCCACGCTCGGCTGGGGAGGGGCTTCAGGGGCCTCGGGTTCGGATCCTGGACCCTCCCTGAACCCCTATCCCATCCCCTTAACGGACTGCACCCACCTCCTGTGGAAAGGAAAAACCACCAACGGGAAAACCCAAACTAGCCTTCCCACCGACGCAAGCAACATATTCATGAACCCCTACCGCTGTGTCTGCAGGGAGGGCAGATTCAGAGGGAAGCGAGGGCTGCCAACAGATGACTTAGGCAATATTTTATCATTAACAGTGACAAGTCCAACCAAGGCTAGTGCAGAACCAGTAAACTGGAGGAGACGGCCAAGGAAGGCGAGGAGGAAAGGGGAGGGAGAGCCGGAGGAGGAGGAGAAGGGGAGGGGAGGAGGGAAGAGACAGAGAGGAGGAAGAGAAGTGGGGGTGGGGAGGAGGAATACTGTGGCCAAAGGCCGAAGGAGACCAGAACTGACTAGGCCAGTAGCCAGAGAAAGCGCGCTGCAGGCGGCAGGAAGGGCTGGTGCAAAGGCCAGGAGTGGGCCTGTGAAGGAAGGGTCTGCAGAATGCAAGGGCCGGAGGGGAGGAAGTGAGGGGACGGATGGCTCCTCCCCCAGGCAAGCCCCCGGCCCTAAAAGCGGAGCTGACTCCGGGTTCCCGCGGACAACGACCCTGACCTTGCGGGGCTGGGGTTTGAGGGAGTCCCTGGTACCACGAGTCAGATACCCGGCTAAGGGCTGCAGCCCCCGCGCAGCCACACGGGGGCGAGCGGGAGCCGATCCAGCCTTGACCCTTAGCTCTCCTCGCTTACCGTCCCTCCCGCCCCAACTCCTGCTCCTAAATCAATTCTCCGGTCGACTCTGTTCACCTGGGCCTCTTCCCGAAACAACCTCTCTGCCTCCTCAACGCCATCCCTACCCACCCGGCAGCCCCTTGGAGCTTCTTAAAATCCTGACGTAGACCCCACCCCTTGAGACCACACACTTTCCTGGGGCTCCCGATTCCCTTCAAAACAAAGCCAACCCGTCCCCGCCGGGATTGGCCCGGCTCCTCTGGTCCTTCCCTGCCTGCTCCAGTCCCGCTGCCCTCCTCGCTCCGCCTCCAGCGCTTTAACCGCGTGCTCGCCTCAGGGCCTTTGCACTTGCCGCGAATTCTTCCTCCAGAAGTCTCAGATCCACCCTCCCACTTGTTTAAAAAAAAACCAAAAATCCTTTTCTCCTCATGCCCCTCCCTTGCAAGGGTGAGGGATGGGGGTGGGGGGTTTCTACGGGTTCTGCTTTTGCAAGACATGCGATCCGGTTCGTGATGCGCTCGGTTCAGCTTCCCGGATGCCGCTTGGGACCCAGATCTTGCTCTTCTCGGACTTTTCCGCCGGCGCCGAGGCTGTGTTTTGCAGATCCGTCCCCGTTGCCATGAGAACCGTGCTAGTCTCTCCCGCCCGCCGCGCCTCCCCCCTCCGCAGCTAGCCCGGCCGCGGGCGCCTCCGCCTCCCAGCCTCCTTCCCTCCCACCGCCTTCTGCCCCAGCGGTCGCCCCGTCCTCTTCACCGGGGTCCCCTCCCTCTGCTCAGCACGTGGCACTCTCTGTAATTATCCTCCTGTTCGCCAGAAGCCTCTGCTCCACAAGCTGTAAGCAATGTGTCCCGATGGGGTCCACAGAGTCAGCATACAGCAGGCGCTCAATAAATGTGAGGAGGAGGAAGACTCACATCGACTCAAGGAGCCGCAGAGCAGAGCAGGCCAGGGACCTGCCCAGGGGGCACAGAATTCTGGAGAGCCACCGAGCCTTAAGAGATAACGGGGGCGTCCGGGGTGGCGACTGGAGAGTATAGGGGACCTGGGAGTCACAGATGTCTGTGTGACTTGGCTGAGTCACACCCTCTGTGTGCCTGGCTGCGAGTAGGTGCTGGAGAGCAGTGGTGGGAACCGGTATTACAAGGGTGTCCTCGGTGCCAACGTCCATCGCTGGCCCCCGGGACATTGGGCAGCCGCCAGCTCACCGTCTGACGGAAGCGGGCGGGCCGCGCCCCCAGGAGAGCGCAGCGCGGGCCCCTCCTCCGCGCCTGCCGGGGGCCGGGAGGCCCGCGGGAGAGGAAGTTGGGGGAGGGGACGACCGGCTGGACAGGAAGTGGGAAGGGCTGGCGTTCCCCACCCCCAACCCCAGGCCGGGGCCCCTCGGGATGGAGGCGGGGCTGGGGCCGGCCTGGCCCTTCCCTTCCTCTTCGCCTGTTTGGAAGCCCAGCGGCTCCAGACTTCCCGCCCACCAGAAGGCCTAGGTCGGGGGAAGGCCACTGGAGGGGAGGGGTACTAAGAGGGAAGCTTATTCGGGGTCGGCCGGCAGCGGCTGAGGCGCTCCGATCAAGACGCACACGACACAGGAAATCTGAGCGGACAACCACACACACAACACAGGTCCCAGGGGGCCAGCAATCCACCCGCTCGCGGAGGTACACACACTAGTGGACAAAACCTAACGCGGCATCACTCCGCCCAGCACATGACCGCCGCGGACACACAGCCACCGTCGCAGAGCAAGGAACAACTGCCCGGACAGCGACTGGGGCTCCTGCCAACCCCCCGCGCACAAAGACGAACACGTGCACTCAGAGGAACCGCGTGTTTACACACACACTCGCGGCTGTACAAAGCAAAAAAAAAGAATATCCACGGCAAACATTCACAGAAGCATCTAGACCTACAAGTCACAGCTAGACCGCCTCCCCCCACCCAGCCCAAGCAGGTCCAGCGCACATTGCGGACGGGTACCCCGGCACACAGGTCTCCACCCCCCCCCAACCCCACCCCAGGCGCCCCTGTCCTTCGGGTGTCGGCCTCCACCTCCTCTGCACACCCCCAGGGGGGAGAAGAGGAGTCCTAGGAGGGAGAATGGGATGCCTACTGCCTGCACCCCGACTCTTGCAGAGGTGCTATTAAGGTGGAATATTCACAGCTGGCACAGGCTGGGAGGCGGAGCCAGCGAAAGTGACCCAGTCAGTCAAGTCACCCAGCACCTGCAACTGACAACAGGTGTGACTGTCAGGCAGTGCTGGGTGGCTCCCAGGAGGTAGCCTGGATACCCAGGAGCGTCTTGTCCGTGTGGTGTCTGTTGTGTGACTGTGTTGCACGTGACTGAGTCGTCTCTGGCTCGGTGAGACCCTAGGTCCCTGTGTGAAGCCCTCGGGAGGCTGCGACGGTGTGCCCCAGGGTAGCTGCGGGGAGTCTTTCCACAGCTGTTGGAAGCTGTGGCTTAGCGGTGCCTATGCATGTCTCCGTGCGGCTCGGTACCTATGTGAGTGTGGAGCGTGTGTTTCAGGGTTTTGTAACAGCCACTCTTTGAGCTGTGTATACCTACGTGAATGACAGTGCGTCCCGAAGGCGGGCTGTGTGTGTGACAGTTCCCACCCATGCTGGGTGTGGGCAGCTCTGCGGGGGCGATGCACCCAGTGTGACTGCCTATAGCTTTATGGGGCTATGAGTAGTTGCTCCAGCAGCCATGCGGACTCACGAGTCCTGTGTCGGCGAGTATAGCCGCAACTGTGTGGCTGTGTTCCTGTGTACAATTTGGGCTTATCTGGACGCTGCGTTTGTAGCAGCTATCAGCTGTGTCCTGTTGTTCGCCCCCGAGTGGCAGTCCCCACTCGCGCCCTGAGAGTGTGTAGCCCCGCGCCCCTTCCCCCCGCGGCGGCCACTGCGCGTGCGCGCCCGGCCCACGGTCCTGGCGGCGGGACCCACCCGCGCTCCCGCCATCGCCCTTTTAAGAGCGGCGCCCGCGGGCGACGGGGTGGCGGCGGGCGGGGGCGCGCGCGGCAGGAGGAGGGGGCGCGCGCTTCCCGGAACAGCCCGCGCTGAGGGAAGAGAGGAAGAAAATAAAACCCGCGGCCGGAGCCAAAGCTGGAGCTGCCGCCGCCGCCGTCTGGAGCTCCCCCGCGCGGACAATGCCCGCGATGCCCGCACGGGGCTCAGGGCGGTGAGGCCCGGGGCGCGGGGTAGCTATGGCGACAGGGAGCGCGGCCCGCGGCGCCGCCTGACAGGTGTGGGGCCCCGGCGGCGGCGGCAGTGCGGAGCAGCATGTACGCCAAGGGGGGTAAGGGCTCGGCCGTGCCCTCCGACAGCCAGGCACGAGAGAAGTGAGTCGGTGGGTCGGGACCGCGGGAGCCGGGGGCGGGGCTCGGTGGCCGCGCCGCTTCCGTGGGCCTTAATGCCGGCGGGCATCGCGTGGGGCACGTGGGTGCGGGTCCGAGAGAGATTTGTTGGGGGCGCGCCAGACCGGAGGGGTTCGGGCAGTCGCAAGCTAAGTGAGAGCGCGGTAGAACCGAGGGGCATGAGAGGTTTAAGGGGTCGCGAGATTTGAGGGGACACGCGAGATCCGAGAGGTCGTGAGAGTAGAAGGGGCGCGGGAGACCCGAAGGGTGCGAGATTTGCGGAGGCGCGCGAGATCCGAGGGGTACTAAAGGGTCGCGAGACCTCCCCGACGTCGAGACTTGGGTGTGCGAGGTTGCCACCGGTGTGCGCGCTCGCGATTCATGCCACTTCCCCCATCCTCTGGGGGAAGTTTCCCGGACAGGCGAGACTGGCCACTCCGCTGCCCGCCCCCTACTCCGCTCCTTGGTGAAAGCTTGAGGGACGGGAGAAGGGCCTGAGGGTCGGCGGGCCCACCCCCGCAAGACCACCTGTCCAGCGGGGCCTGGCGCAGCTGGGTGGGGCCCTTGGGGAAGCCGCAGGGCTCACAGTCTTGGGGCGCCCACTTGTTCTGGGCATGGAGCTGGGCTTTGGGTCGCAGATGCGTTCAGGCTGGTAGACGGACAGGTACCTAGCTCCCAGACTGCGATGAGGGGCTGGGGGCGCTCGGAGCTTCTTGGAGTGGGGTGGCAGCTGATATGCTGCGCCTGCCCCCTGGCACTGCCACTTACCTGGGGTGTGACTTTGGGTGAGGGAGTACCGCCTCCTAAGCTCACTCTTTATCCTGAGAAATGCAGACGTAATAACAGTTCCGCTTCTTAGGTTTAGGAAGCATTTGAAAAGTGCTAGGACCTGTGACTATCAAAGCAAGGGCACCCAATGGTGGTTTGTGATATTATTATAGTGCCAGGGAAAAGGGAAGGCTTGCGATGGCTGATTTGCAGGATCGTAGAAATCAAGCCACCTAGCGTGGGACACCAGCTGCTGGAGACGTTAGGAGACTGGATTCTCAGGGAGAGGTCCCATGATGACTCTTCAAGGAATAGAGCAGGAGTGAGGATTTGAAAGTCTGGGCAGTGAAAAGGAGCCCTAAACATGGACTCTCTCCTATCCTGCGTTTTCTGCCTGGGCTGACATTGGGACCCTTTCCCACCCCCACCGGGACCTTCAGCTGTCCCTGTCACCTTCATCCCCTTATTTAAAGATTTACTTACTTATTTTATTTTTTGGCTGTGGTGGGTCTTCGTTGCTACACACCAGCTTTCTATAGTTGTGGAAAGCAGGGGCTACTCTTCATCGCAGCGTGCGGGCTTTTCATCTCTTACAGCTCGGCAACTGTTTCTCTCTTGGCTGAGGACAAGCGAAGCTTGAGGGCTCAGTAGTTAGGGCTCTTGGGCTCCAGAGTGCTGGCTCGGTAGTTGCGATGCACCGCTTAGTTGCTCCACAGCATGTGGGATCTTCCCAGACTAGGGATCAGACCGGGGTCCCTTGCGTTGCAAGGTGGATTCTTCAGCACTGAACCACCAGGGAAGCCCTCATCTTATCTAAAAAGATCTGAAACCAATGACCAAATGCAAGCACTAGTTAGTGCTTGGTGGGAGGTGCTCTTGGGGCCTGCCTGTAAGCTGGAGCGTTCTTCATTTACAGGAGAGGCTGTGTCTTCCTGCAGGCAGCCTACTCAGATCCTACCTCCCCCTCACCCACCCTGCCTTCCCTCCCCTGTATTCCCTGGAGCCTGCAGTCACCACTGTGTGCCATGAACCCCCAAGGGCAGGGACCCACCATCTGTGCACCTAGCAGACTCTAAGTCCATTGTTAGGACAGGCTGGCCCAGACCTCGTTCTGAGATGGGGAGCCAGAGGGGGCTCAGGACAGGGGCCAAAGAAGGAAGGAGAATGGCAGGAGGAGGCAGGAAGGTGGGATCAGGGAGAAAAGAACAGGACTGGAGAGTTAAGGACCTGAGCAGTGGAACCCCCTTCACCAGAGATGGAAGTGGCTTAGTTGGTGGCGACCTGTGAGAGGCGCTCTACCTGCAGCCTCTCCCCCAGCCCTGGTGAGAATCCTGCAAGGCTGACTGTCCGCATTTCAGATGGGACACCGAACCAGGCTCAGAGCTTCCAGTCTGCCTCTCTAGTGTATCAGCCCCACACTTCGAAGAGCTCTCCTGTGCCCCTGAACCTGAGTTTTCGATGGGGTCCTTCCTATCTAAAGCCCAGCATCCCCATCAGTGAAGCGGATGCTACCATCTGCTGTTTTCCTAAGTTTTTTTTTGCAGCAGCAGAACCTCGTCTCCAAGCCAGCACTTCTGCTGGACCCTCCTGACAAGAAATGGCTGAGGGTAGGATAGCTCTGGCCAAAAATGATGGAGGGGGACCGAGAACTCAGATAACCCACTCTTCCATCTCTGGCCAAGAACTGAGGCTGGATTCAAAGACTCAGAATCTCCCCTGGGTTGTCCAGTGGGGTTGAAACTCAACTCCAAAGCCCTCCTCCCCAGCTCAAATCTGTTTCTTTTTTTTTTTTAATTTGTTTATTTTTAATTGAAGAATAATTACTTTACAAAATTGGTTTGATTTCTGCCACACATCAACATGAAATAGCCATAGGTATACATATGTCCCCTCCTCTTGAACCTCCTTCCCACCTTCCACCCCATCCCACCCCTCTAGGTTGTTACAGAGCCCAGTTTTGAGTTCCCTAAGTCACACAGAAAATTTCCATTGGCTGTCTATTTTACATGTGGTACAAACCTGTTTCTTCCCTTCTGTTATCTCCATGGCTATCCCCTAAGCTGCCACAGTCAGCTCTGTTCCAGATAACTGCCTGCCTCCCCGAGGTTTCCTGGCCCTCTACCCCACCCCCCCGGCAGACCCCCAATAAGCCCCACTCCATAAAGGAGCTGGAGCGTACTTTAAAAGACAAACCTCTCCAGCCCACATGGCACACCCCCACCCTGGGTACCAGCCCCGGCTCTGTGGCCCGACCTCACCCCAGGGCCTTTGCACTTGCTGTGCCCACAGTAAACAGCTCTTCCTCTAGATCCTCTAGATCTTCCACATAGCTGGTCCCTCCCACCCCTCACCACCACCCACTTTTCCACTTACTTTCTTAATTGCACAGCACCAGATCCCCCCACCAGCTTGTGCGGTAACTCACCTCCCTCTTAGCTCGGATGTGGGCTTCTTCTGGGCTAGCACCTGCCTTCCCGACCACTACACCCTAAGACCCAGCCCAGCACATGTCTGAACAAGCAGACCATTCCCCCCAGGACAGTGGTAGCCCCCAGACCCCAGCCAGGGTACAAGGATGGCTGGAGATGTGCCAGGATCCCCAGGAGTGGGGTGGTCAGACACCTCCTGCTTCCAACCTGGGCAGAAGAGAGGTGTCAATTTTAAAAAGTCTTCCTGCTTAAGGGTGCTTGGAAATGGAGCCCACCCTCACAACTGCGCAGCTAGATGAGAGGGGGCCAGAAAGACAGTCATCTGTCTAGCATCTTCTGGCCAGAAGAATCTCTTCTCCAAAATGACCCCAGGGCCAGGTAGAGAATGGATGCTCACTGTGCTCTTGGGGCTCTAGGGTCCAGAGAATACAGGGGAGGGAAGGCAGGGTGGCGAGAGGGAGGTGGGGTCTGAGTGGGCTGCCTGCAGGAAGCCACGGCCTCTCCGTCTGTAAATGAGGAACATCAACCTACAAGGAGGTCCCCGGAGCACTTCCCACCCAGAACTAACGAGCACTTGCGTTTGATCATTGGTTTCAGGTCTTTTTAAATAAGGAGATGAAGGTGACAGGGACGGCTGAAGGTCCCTATGTCCGCTTGGCATCCTTCCCCCCTTCCAGCCTCAGAGGCTCTGCTGTCCTAAATTGGGGGGAGGCATCTAAACATTGGCTTCTGGGACACCTTGAGTGCTGCCAGGTGGGTGTAGAATAGTTCCATAAATGACAGCTGTGGTCAGTGTCGCCGGGAATCTTGTGTATGTTTCCACCAGAGTCGGTTTTGATACAAGCACATCACCTCAGGTAGTTCGTCCGTTTTCCCAGTGGACAAGGGAATGACTGTGTGTCTGTCCCGTCCCTAGCTGAGTGTCCAGGTGTGGCCCTGGGCACCCTTGTTGGAGGGGAGCTCGTGGGTAAGAGGTTCTTGAGAGAGGCTGAGTGGAGCCAGCCACACAGGGAGCCTTCTGGGAAGGCAGTATCTGGGGGCGGATGCTGGGATGGAGTTTATGAGTGGGGGTCGTTCCTTTGGCTGCTGGGTGGGGGGAAGGCTGGTGAGGAGGGTGGCTCTGGAGAGCTGAAGGCCTGGCCCTGTGGGTGGTGGAGAGGAGGCAGGAAACGTGTGGGCGAGAGTCCCTGAGGGGCCTAGGTGGTGCTGGTGGTGGATTAGCCCAGGGTGGAGGGCTGACGTAAGGCCTGGAGTGGAGGGCTTCTCCCAGCCCCCAGCGCACAAGGCTCCAGGGGCTCTGGGGGGAGGGGGAGCTGAGCAGGGAGCCCCTCTTACCTTGATTCTTGGCCAGTTACGGTAACTCTTGATAATGAAGGTGGCATTGCGGAGTTTCCATCTGGGAGGCCCCGGTACCCCATCCTGCCCCTACTCCATGCGCAGCTGCAGGGAGGCCCGCAGGCACTTCTCCCCGTAAGCACCCCCGGTCCAGGCACCCGGGTCCAGGCACCCCACATGCTCCAGGTCACCAGTCCTTCTGGAGGGGCGCCCTCCAGTGCATCCCCTGCTCCCTCCCGTCTCCTGCCCTCTTGCAGCGGGGATCCCCTCGGATGGATGCGCTCTTCATTCTGTAGGTCATTTGCTGACCAGGGCTGGGGCAGGACTGGGATTTGGACCCACAGCCCAGGCCCTTTCCCACAACCCCACTCGGGGCCTGGACAGGGGCCCCCAAGCCAGAAGCGCCCCAGAGGGGAGAGCTCTGGAGGTGCCCAAACCACCAGCCCAGGCTTCAGGAAAACAAAACTGCTCCCAATTCTCTGAGACTTGTTCCAGATAAAAATGAAAAGTACCAGCATGTAAGGTTTTTGGTTTCAGCAAACCTGAAAACCTTCTCTGGCTTCTCTATGCTCTTGGGATAAAACCCCAAATCCTTAACATCAGAACAGTAGGTGCTTACCTTCTGCAGCGCTTCCCCGACATCCCCAGGGGGTTCAGGATCCATTCCTCCAGGCGGCTGAGGGCCCAGTGCTAGGTAAGCTCAAGAGTGAGATGAAGTCCCTGCCCGCCCAAAGCGACATTCAGTGGGGGCTGCAGGCAGTAAGCGGAGAGCCTGGTGTCAAATGGAGATAAATAAAATGATGGGGGCGAGGGGAGATTGGAGCAGGGCTGGGGTTAGAAGTGATAAAGACGTCTCTTACAGGTGACAGTGGGGCCATGAGGGTCTCTAGCTGAAGTGCCCCGAGCAGGGAAACAGTCTGTGCAAAGGCCCTGGGGTGGAAAGGTAGTGAGTGGTTAGTGTGTGTGGGGGGGGGGGGGGGGAGTAGAGACGGGTCTGCATGCGGAGTGCTGGTGGGGAAGGAAGGAAGCAGCCTTTGTTGAAGTCCAGGTAAGTGATGGCGGCAGCCTGGACCCAGAGTGTGCTGAGGAAGGCGGGGAGAAGGCTCAGGATGAGGAGAGAGGGCTTTTTCCTTAAGTTCTTTCCCCTAAATTCGGTAAAATGTAGTGATCCCTGGAGGATAGCTGGGTGGGTCTTCACACTTACACCACACACATGTGTGTTCAGACCACCCAGGTTGGGGAACCGGAGGGGAAGGGAAGGATAAGAAGCTGGGGTGGGGCTGGGCCTTTAAGATACCAAGTGGGCAGTGGACACTGAGTTCTGAGCAAGCCTGTGGGCAGCTGCAGCAGTCAGTCATCCAAGCAGGAGGGGAGGCCACCCAGGGAGAGAGGAGGAGAGCGGGCGGGGGTGGGTTCCAAGACCTGTGTCCTACCTAGGTCACTTGCCACCCGAGGGTGGAGGGTGAGAGGTGATGGAGGAGGACACGGTGGGCTGGCGGCCTGACCCCTTGGTTGGAGCCAGCATTTTCTTCAGAGGACTCCAGAGCCCTGAGGAGAGTCTCTGCCCTTGGTGGGGGTGGGGGATCTGCAGCCCACCCCCCCCTTCCCTTCTGGGGCAGCCTACCCGGGCCCCCCTCCCCCACTCTGTCTTACTCCTTGTCTCTGGGTGTCTCATCCCCTGGCCTTTCCTGCTCCCTGCACTGCCCCCCAAGGTGACCGGGTCCAGGTGGACCTCTCACCGCCTCTCTGCCTGCAAGGTGAGGAAGTGAGCTGGCAGGAGCTGCTCAGGTCTGCTCTGGCCCCATCAGCTCTTTGTGTTCATTCTTGTACTGATGGGCTTGGACCAGGCGGATGCAACTGGGCGGATGCAGACCACTGGTGAAGGCTCAGGAGGCCTCTAGAAAGCCAGGGGGCTCTGCGAGTGAGTTGGACAGACGAGCACCGAGGCCGAATGGTGAGGAAAATCGCTGAGCCTGAGAAAGGAGGATGCTGAAGACTCTTGGGTGCGATGTTGGAACCTGGGGTCGCCTGGGCCTTGAGGAGCTACTGAGAGGAGTGTGATGACAAGGCGGGGACCTTGGCTAGTCTTGGGGGAAACCCACAAATCCCACCTCTCAGCGCCCCGCTTCTGTCATTCCCGCAGCTGTCACAGTTCGGGGTGTAATGCAAGCTGTGGACATACCTTGCCCCGGGACAGCTGCCCACCCTGACTCCATAATAGCCCCCTTGTCCTCCTGTGGCATGCACTGCCTTCCAGCCCACCAGATCACTTATGTTCTCCTTCGTATTGTTGCTCCTCCATCTCTCCCCTTAAGCTGGTAGCCTCTGGGACAGGAGTCTGTGGTGGTCACTACTCAGGGAGGCGCTGCGTGAATGAGTGTTGAATGAATGAAGGGATGGATGGGTGAAGAAAGGAAGAAGGTCCACTACAAGGGCAGAAGCCGTGGGGCTGAGGCCGGGACAGAAGGGCCTTGCTGCAGTCTGGAGCCCGGGTGGTCTGCTGAAGGGGCTGGGATGGGAGGATTGAGCAGCCTGGCTGGGAAGAGCGGGAGAAAACGAGCCTGAATCAAAGCACAGTTGTTTTAAGATGGGGCTGTCGGCCAGAGGAGGGCGGCCAGCCGAGGGGCAGGCATCTGGAAGGGCCTCCAGCTTTCACCAGAGCGACCTCAGGCCGGCCCTCGGGGAGCCTCCAGTCTTGGACCCAGACTCCCCTCAGTCCGCCTGGGGCCTGGTTGGGCAGCAGGAGGACCCTGGGGTGCCCCGAGGGGCTGGGGCGGTAGAGGGTGACTGGGTGACCCCAGCGGCTGGGGGTTGTCCCTCTGCTGGCTGGTGTGGCAGAGGCCCGGGATGGAAAGGCCTGGAAGGCAGTATGGATGGTCTGGCTTCCTTGTGTGGCCCGTGAGTGGCACTGCTGGTTGGAGCGTGGCCTATGCTCTCGGCCTGGGTGGTGGCCGAGCCGGTACGTCCGTGGGTGCTGGGCGCGTGGGCGTCTGGACAAGGCGGTGTTGTGACAGCTGAGTGGCACTGTTGGCCCTGCCTCCCGTCCCCCGGAGTCTCCTAGGGGCAGGCACGGGTGTGTCATGGCCGCCACTGGTGGGTGCACACTGGCCCTAGAGAAGGACGGGGTCCAGGGGGCCTGGAGGAGGAAGACCCCGGTCAGAGAGCCGCTATCTTTTCTCGGCAGCTGAGGCTGGGCACGCACGAGGCACTGGGCCCTGGCCATGTGGACCAGGGTGCCTGCCGGGAGGCCTGCCCAGAGCGCGATCGGGGATGGAGCCCAGGAGCCCCTTCTCCTAGCAGAGGGCCTCTGGGGTCAAGGCTGCTCGGAGGTCTCGGGATTGGTGGGACAGGCCCCGGACTTGGTCCATCCGGGGGGTGTTGAACGAAACAGATTTTGACCTGGAAGTGGGTCTGGGGACTCCAGGGGCCTGCAGGCTGGGTGCTGATGTGGAGGTGGTCAGGCTGAGCAACTGGCATGGAGGCCGTCTATCTCTTCTGAGGAGTGGGGGAGCTGGGACAGCGGGGGAACAGTGAAGGGGAGGGAGTGAGGCTGGCGGGAGGGGGCATGGGGGGGGGCCTTCTCCACCTTCCCACCAGGAGGGCAGGCACTTGGCCTGAGAGCCCCTCTCGGGGACCCTTGGGGCGGGAACTGAGTCTGGCCCAGGCCTCTGACCGGCCCTACCTGACCGCCTGCAGGTTGGCGTTGTACGTGTATGAGTACCTGCTACACGTCGGTGCCCAGAAGTCAGCCCAGACCTTTCTGTCTGAGGTAAGCTGGCCCAGCCAGGCAGGGACCCACACACCAGACCCTTCCTTAGCCCCCGCACCCTGGGGCCTCCCTACCCCATTTTTGTCAGGTCTTCTGTGGTAGGGTCAGGTCACGCCCTGGAAGTGAGGGCTGGGCTGGGGCTGGGCTTGCAGATGGGCATCCTGGCATCTGTCCATCCATCTGAGGATCTGCCTCCCGTTTCTCTGCGGGCTCCTCATCAAGCTGCCCCCCTCCTGGCTCCCCGGCTCTGACCCACTGGTTTCCTGCCCCAGTGTTCCCTGGGCCCCCAGGCTGGGCTGGCGCTGCCTCTCGGGAGGGAAGGGGGCCAGACAGAGATGGGCAGCTAGCACCTCACCTTCTTTCCTCTCCCCTGCAGATCCGCTGGGAGAAGAACATTACGCTGGGGGAGCCCCCGGGCTTCCTGCATTCCTGGTGGTGGTGCGTGCGAGGTGGCGCGGGCGGGCCTTGGAGGGGGCCTGGGTGGGGGCGCGTGGGGAAACCATCTCCCCCCCTGCCGCCCACAGCGTGTTCTGGGACTTGTACTGTGCAGCGCCCGACCGCAGAGAGGCGTGTGAGCACTCGAGCGAAGCCAAGGCTTTCCAGGACTACGTGAGTCCCGCCCCCGGGGTTGGGACCAGGGCTGGGCATGGGCAGGGGCCTGTGCTCTTGAGGGGGCTCCAGTGGGCAAGTGGGCCGGGCAGTGGGGTTTGACCTGAGACTGTGGCTTTTGTTTGGGGAGTCCTCCACTGCATCCAGCTCCTGCGGGTCCCCATAAGCCCGAGACCCTCTGGAGGCCAGCCCCTCCTTTGCTTCCCCTCGTGTGAACCCCATGTGGAACCCGATAGACCGAACCCCAGTTCCTGCCTCCCTGGCTGCCTGCCTCTTTGTGTGCAGGGTGGGGCGGGCCGTCCCCCACGCTTGCCCCCTCCCCCCTAGCCTTCCGAGGTGGGGGCCCAGGCAGGGGTGCACCCTGGCGTTGGAGAGGCCTAGCTTGGCAGACCTCCCAGCCTTGCTCGGCGACTGGGGCTGCTCACTTCGCCTCTTGGGCCTCGGGTTTCGGTGCAAGTTGAGGGGGAGTCAGTGTCGTCCAGAGCAGGGCTGGGTAACAGGAGGGGGCCCACGTGGGAGGCGTTGGCCGCCTCCTGCCTTTACCCTCTTCCTCCCGGTTTGTGGGGCTTGCTCTCCAAGCCCCGCAGAGACTCCCCGCCTGCCCTCCCCCTCCCCCCTGCACTCCTGCAGCGGCCGTTCACCTCCTGAGCCCTCCGCTCCGCTGTGCCCCTGGGGCGGGGTGCCTCTCAGGGCCTGTCCTCCACCCTCCCTCTCTGCAGTTAGCGGGAGTCCCACACCAGGCACCGCCTCCCGACAGAAGCCGCCCCCCAGTACAGAAGGGCCAGGGTGCAGTCCGAAAAGGCCGGGGTTCACCGTGTCCCCGAAGACGCCCCGGGCACGCTGTATGCGTTTTTATGGGGGGGGGGGGCGGTTACTGCCCTTCACCCCCATCAGGTTCCACTGGTCATGTTGTGGTGCGGCCAGAACGGGGGTAACAGACGTGTCTGGAGCTGTGTGCGCATGTGACTCGGTGTGGGTCCGACTCCCTCGCCCCAGTGCACCCCACTCCTCCCAGTGCCTTTCCGGGGTCCCTGAGGGCTCTGTTCCTCCTCCCGGCTGAGCAGCCCGCCCTTCCCTCTCCGCCCCCGGCTTCGTCCCCGCCCCCACGTCTCTGGGGGAGGGAAGAGTGCACCGTCTCCCAGGAGTGAGCGCGCTTCCTGGAGCAAGCTGGTTACCATGGCATCAGGGCGCGTCAAGGGAGGGGGGCGGCGCCCCGGCCGCGGCCCGGCTCCGGGGTGACAGGGTCCCTGTGTCAGCAGACTGAAGCCGGCTGCGTGTTCTGCCCCACCTCCGCACTTACTGGAGGTGGGGTGAGGAGCGTCCTGCCGCCTCCCCCTCGCAGTCGGGGCTCCCTCCTCCCTTCCAGCCCCCAGCTTCTGAGGGGGCTCAGTCTGCGCCTCTGGGCTGGGGGCCGACCTCGGCGTCTCCAGGAAACAGGAGCGCGCCCAGCCTGTCGTCATGACAACGGGGTCCGGCTGGTGCCTCCGGGTGGATGATTGACGTGGGGGGTCCAGCTCAGGTCACCCACCAGGAAGGGTAGGCCTGACCTATACCCCCCGGATTAACCCTTCAAGGCCTAGACTTGGGGAGCCCCATCTTTTCCCCACCCCCACACCTCAAGGTCTGGAAAGCCAGCCACCCGCACCGCCAGCCACCTTCCCCGACCAGGAAATGCTCTGGCGCCGCCTGCCACGGCTCAAAAGGGGGGGGGGGGGCTGCCCTCCCTGTGGGCTGGGGAGGGTGGACAGACCCAGGGCGCAGAGCTGCTCCCCTCCGGCCAGGGAGAGACACGCGTCAAGGGGCCTCAAGAAGAGCGCTCCCCTCAGTGCCTGCAGCGTCCTCCCCCTTCCCTGTCCTTTGATGTATCTCCTCTGCCCTGAAGACTAGGCCTCTTTTTACCCCCTCCCCCTGCTCTTTGGGCCCCAAAGGCAGACAAGCCTGGGACTTGGAACCAGCCAGAGGAAGTGGCCTGTCAGCCTGTCCCCCTGCCAACTCTAGGCCTACCACCAGCATCTCCACCCTTGGCAGACACCAGAACTCCCCTCTCAGACACCGGGTCTTGTCCCCTCCTCCTTCTGAAGAGACTGGGGGCCTGGAGAGGCACTGGGGAGTGCTGCTCTTCCTTCCCCCTCCTTCCTGAAGGGTTTCTGGTTGCTCCGAGGGAACCCTCTGGGAGGGAGTTTCATCTCCAAGCTGCCTACTGATGTTTGTTGTTGATTTGAGGGGTCTTGGGGCCCCAGCTAAGCTGCCTTGCCAGCCAGAAGGATTCAGGGCTGGTTGGGATGGGCCGGGAGGGGGTGTCTGTGCCCCCACCCATCTGAAGTTGGATTCAGACCAAAAGAACAAGCCTGTGCTAGAAGGATGAAGCACACACTGGAGTTCTGGGCAGACCCCTAGAATCCTCAGGGTGGACTAACCGGGGGCTGGCGTCCCTGGCCACCTCCCTAGTCTGGGGTCTCCGCAGGTCGGGGCCCTGATCACCTGCGGGTCATGAGTGCAGCACAGAGGCAGAGCCCTTGCTTAGGGCCACTCAGCATATGGGGCTGCTAAGCCTGGGGGGGACAAGGACTCTGCTCAGTGTTAGCCCCCCTGCCCAATCCTTCCATGCTTGAGTAGTTAGATGGCTTGGGTTCCTTGTTCTGTGGGGCTGGCTGTTTGGGGAGAAGAGAAAAAACTGGTTCAGAAAGTGACCGGACTTGGGTCTTGCCATCTCTCCCGCTCCTGCAGAGCGCTGCTGCGGCCCCCAGCCCGGTGATGGGGAGCATGGCCCCCAATGATGCAATGGCATCAGGCCCCATGGCACCCGGCTTCTTCCAGGTACAGCCAGGGCTGGGACCCCCTGTCTGCCTGGGTGGGCAGTGACAGGGTGGGTATATACTGTGCTGTCCCTGGTAGGGCCAGAGAGAGGGGTGGAGCTGCCTGGGCCCCAGTGCCAAGGAGGGCGGGGGCTCTGCACTAGGACTGCTCGCGTGTCAGGGTGCCTGGGGCCGCAAAGCTTGGCTCTCTGAGCCAGGCGTCCTGCCCTTAACCCTACCTTTAGAGTCCACACCCGGCCTCTCCCCTGCCACATCCCGCAGAGGGGGCTGGCTGGCCCCTTCTCCTGCCTCCACGGCGTCCCCGCCCCTGCCCTGCCAGGCTCAGCAGAGCCACAGGAAACCGTGGAACTTCGGGTGACCTCGCTCCTCCCAACCCACCTGGTTCTGTCCTCCTAGGGCCCCCCCGGCTCCCAGCCTTCCCCCCACAACCCCAACGCCCCCATGATGGGGCCTCATGTTCAGGTAAGGACTTGTAACGCCCTGCCCCTTCGCGCACGCACACCCCTCCCCGGGGCCCCTGGGCGAGTACCACTGAGCTAGGCACCGGGGCACCGCGGGCTGAGGTATGCCGGCTGGTGCTGGAGGAAGGCTGGGGGCCCGGCGGCAGCAGGAACTGGGTAGCTTTGAGGGCTGAGCAGGTCGGGGGAGGTGCTGATCCCCGGCCCACCTCTTCCAGCCCTTCATGTCACCGCGGTTCCCAGGGGGCCCCCGGCCCACCCTGCGGATGCCGAGTCAGGTGAGAGGGGGATGTGGGGAGGGGGGGCAGGAGTTGGGCCGGAGTGGGGGCACCCCCACTCAGTGCTGCCACTCCCCATCCGCAGCCTCCCGTGGGCCTCCCCGGCTCCCAGCCCCTCCTCCCTGGCACCATGGAGCCCTCCCCGCGAGCTCAGGGTGAGTAGGGAAGCTCCAGCTGCTGTCCCCCCACCAGCCAATCAGGACCCCAGAACCAGGAACCCCCCCCCACCCCACATCACAGCGCGTGTCCTCGCGGGGAAATGGGCCAGACCTGAGCCCACTCTTCCTTCTGCCCCCAGGGCATTCGAGCATGGGCCCCATGCAAAGGGTGACGCCTCCCCGGGGCATGGCCGGCGTTGGGCCCCAGGTAAGGGCCGCTTGGGTGATGGGAGCTTCAGGGGCTGCCCCGCTAAGCCTGCACTCACAGGCCCCTTTGCCTTCGCAGAGCTACGGAGGTGGCATGCGGCCCCCACCCAACTCTCTTGCTGGCCCCGGCTTACCCACCATGAACATGTAAGGCCCTCAGGGACCCCTAGGAGCGAGCCCAGGCGGGCAGCACCCCACTTCACGGGCTGGGGGTACTGAGGCAGACCCCACACAGCAGTCCCTGGCAGTGTTGACTTCTCTGCTGGGTGGGGAAGCTCAGGCTCAAAGAGCAGTGAGCCATGACTGGTTTGGGATTTGAAGGCCGGCCTGGAATCTGCGTGGCCAACAGCTGCTGCTCTGAGGGCACCTGCGGTAGAGTGGGTGTCAGGGAGTGTGTGCTGGGGGGCAGGGTACCACCGGGCTGAGACCCCGGGTCCACCACTGTCTCTTCTAGGGGCCCCGGAGTGCGCGGCCCGTGGGCCAGCCCCAGTGGCAACTCGGTGAGTATCCGGGAGGGGTGTGGGGTGATTAAAAGCCGGCGGGGTGGTGGAGTGGGCGGACTGCTCACAGCTGCCCCTCTCCCCAGATCCCCTACTCCTCCTCCTCGCCCGGCAGCTACTCGGTGAGTGGGGCCTAAGCTGGGACACCTGGGACCTGAGCGCAAGGGTTGTGGGGTGACACATGGTGGGGGGACTTTCTCACCGTCTGTGCCTCCCTCTGTGTGCAGGGACCCCCAGGAGGAGGTGGGCCCCCTGGAACCCCCATCATGCCTAGCCCTGGAGGTAAGACAGCCTGAACGGGGCATAGGGAGGGCTGTGCTTGGTGGGGGAAGCCGCTCTGACGCCCCGCCCCCTCGTGTGCTGTCTCAGACTCCACCAACTCTAGCGAGAACATGTACACCATCATGAACCCCATCGGGCCGGGCGCCGGCAGGTCTAATGTAAGCAGGGCTGGCGGGGTTCGGGGCGCGGTGGTGGTTGGTTGGGGGCGGGGAGCCGGAGGCTCAGGCTGTTTCTCTGCCTGTAGTTCCCGCTTGGCCCTGGTCCGGAGGGCCCCATGGCCGCTATGAGCGCGATGGAGCCTCACCACGTGAACGGATCCCTGGGTGAGTGGGCGTCCGGGGACGCCAACACCCTCACACCCGCCCCCACCCCGCTGCTCCGCTAGCCTCGTGCGCCCCCTGGCGGCCTCCTTCAGCCCGTCCGCCTCTGTGCTGGGCGGGCATTGAAGGCGCCTTTGCTTCTCTGGGCTGCTGGGTGACCGGCTGAGCTGGGGGAGGGTCCAGCAACGAAACCGTGGGGAGGCCTGGCCGCCAGCCATGACGCCCGCCCCGATCAGGGAGGGGGCGGGGGGGCGGAGTTTGCGGAGGGGTTGGTGGAGCGGACTTGGCGGCGCCGGCGCGTCTGAGCCGCGTGTCCGCCGTCTGTCGGTCCACAGGCTCGGGCGATCTGGACGGGTTGCCGAAGGTGAGGGGGCGGCGCTCCGGGGGAGGGGGCACGCCCCCAGAGCTCCCCCGGCACCGTGGCCGGCCTGAGCAACACCCCGGGCACCCCGCGGGACGACGGCGAGATGGCGGCCGCCGGGACCTTTCTGCACCCGTTCCCGAGCGAAAGCGTAAGCGACTGCGTCGACTCCCCCCCCGCGGCGGCGTCGGGCCGGAGGGGCCTGGCGGGCAGACCCCGGCGGGGCGGCCGGGGGGCCAGAGCAAGACCGTGACCGCGGCGGGCCAGGTGGGGGGGCGGCCGCGGCATCCTTCCCTTCCTCCTCCTTTCCCCTCCCCCCGGCCCGCCCCGTCTCACCACCCCGTCCACATCCCACCCCCAGCCCTGGGACCCGTGGCTCCCCCACGCACCGCCACCTGATCCTGCCCTCTCCCCCTGTCCACACCTCTCTGTCCCCCATTCCCCCTGGGGGGCGGGTCCCAGCCTAGGCCGGAACTGAGCCGGCCCCCCGCGCGCCACCCCCTCGTCTTTCCGCAGTACTCCCCCGGGATGACCATGAGCGTGTGATGGGGCCGCAGACCCTTGCCCACTGCCGGCCTCGGCTTCTGCCCAGCGCCCCTGCCCGGGGCCAAGGTCCAGGGGCTCGGGTGGTCCGCAGGGTGAGGGTCTGAGGTCACACTGCGGGCAGCTGGACTCCCAGTCAAGGCTTGGATGGCTGGGAGGCCCCGCACCAAGGACTTATTCATTTTATATATATATATGTATATATATATAAAAACAAAACACACAAGGACCTCAGAGACGTTCTTTCCTGTTTGGGCCCTTCCCGTCATTTCTATTTTGTCCTGGGGGGGCGCTCCTTGAGGGACCTTCCTTTCCCCTGGACAGCAGGGGTGGGCCCCATCAATAAATGTAACTTGATTTTGGTTTTTGGTATCTGGTCTCAAATTTCTTCTTTGGCTCGCAGCAGCCATACCCTATTTATTAGCCTAGCCTTCAAGGGTTGTGGTTAGGCAGAGCCGCCCGTTCCTACCCCCTCCTCCCAAGGGGGGCGGGGGCGGTTCTGGAAAGTTCCGGAGAGTTGGGGCAATAGAGTTGGGAAGGGGAGGTAGGAGTCTACTGATGAAAAATGGAGATGGGCTGGAGTTGGGCGGGTTTAGAGTGGCAGGCGCCAAGAATACAGATGTGGCTCATAGTGGCACTGGCTTTATTGTCTTCAGGGGGCCTAGAAGGGTCGGGTCCTGGGGAGCAATGGGGGCAGGAGTTACAGGGGAGTCATAACTCCTAAGGCCAGGGCCTTAGGTGGTGGGCATCTGGGGTGCCTCAGCCTGTGAGTGCCCATTGGCATCACCAGTACAGCCATTGGGTGCTGTCGGCACAGATCCTTTCTTGCAAAGCACCGGGGAGGCGGTGGCCAAGGGCCCAACTCTCTTGAGGCCAGGGCGTTCCATCTTGTGCTCCAGAAGCATGTGGTTCTGCGGCGGGAGCCCCACGCAGGCCCTGGGGGATGATCAGGGCTCAGCGGGGCTAGACCTGGAGACTGCTGTGCAGTCCCTAGGCCCTGTGCACAGCCCCTCCAGCGGACATCCTGGCCGTGGATGGGGACCCCCAAGGCTGGGGCACACCTGAGGATATTCTCGATGCAGCTGCGCTGGCGGAAGAGCGCATTGACCACGGGGCTGCCGGGCGGTGCAAGTGGCGCCTTGAAGAGGAAGCCGAGCAGCGACAGCACCGGATGGAAGCTCTGCGGGTCAGGGTCGATGTCGGTGCAGAAGCTCACTCGCTGACACAGTTCAGTCAGCAGGGCCAGGTCCAGCATGATGGGCGCGGCCAGGAGCGAGTCCTAGGGGGCCAGCGGGTCAGGAGGTGGGCCGGGTTGGCGGCTGCCCCGCTGCTCCTGCCCCCTCGCGCCCCACACCTCGCACGTGTTGTGCAGCACCAACGTGTTGGTACCACCCAGCATCAGCTCCGATGTGTACTCATCCAGGGCACGCTTGCTGTCGCCCACGTATGGCACGTATTTGATGACCACCTGGGGGGCGGCAGGAGGTCACACGGGTCCCTGCCCTCAGTTGGGCGCGCCCTCGCCCCGGCCCCTGCCCCCACTCCCGCGCCCCACGCACGCAGTGGTCGGGCTGCTCGCCCGGCGAGTAGAGCACCGGGTTGCTGTGCACCATGTCGTCCACCACGCTGCTCTTGGACACCTCCTTGGAGCGGAACTGTGGTGGCGCGGACAAGTTCTGCCCGTCGTTGTTGCCCAGGTGGTTGTAGCTCACGATGGACATGGTCTGGGGGGACAAGGGGACCCTCGGTAGCTGCAGGCCTCGCAGCACACAAGCCCATCCCTCGGGGGTTCAGGCCCCCGCTTCCTGAGCTGAGCAGTCCCCCAGGCCCACACACCTTGAGGCCAGAGCCGATAAGAAAGTCCACGAGCACAGACTTAACCTTGGTCTGGCCTGACTTGAAGTCGTCTCCACCCACAAAAACGCGGCGCTGCCACGCGAGCTCGAGGGCACCGGGTACCAGCGTGTTCTGTGGGGACCCATTGAGGAAGGCACAGCCCTCCAAGATGCTGGCCACGGCAAAGAGTGTGGAGGGCGACACTTCCAGGCCCAGCTGCGGGCAGAGGGGGCCAGTCAGCACAGAGGAGTCCCTGGGGGCTGGCCCTGATCCCACTCCGCCCCACCACCTGGATGGTGCGCAGCAGGTTCTCAGCGGTGTCATTGAGGCCCGGAATCACTTCGCAGAAGCGCTCTGTGTTCGCTGTCCACAGCACGATGACTTTGTCCAGGCCGGCGCTAGACCGGAAGTCGCGGATGTCCCTACGGATCTGCTCCAGCTGGGGATGGGGAAGGTGAGGGGAGGTTGTACAGGCTTCGACCTGTGGAGGCCTGGGCTACTCAGTTTCCCAAGTGTGCTGGACCCTCAGGATGGGAGCGTGGGGACAAAAGAAGAGCAGGTGCGGGGGGGCGGGGTGGACAAATGGCTGGGAAGAACAAGTGGCAGGGGATAAGGGGCATGGGGAGGGGCTGCACCTGCTGCGCGCGCGTGCCCGGGATGACGTTGTCGGCGCGCGCGCTCTGGTTAGCTGCGATGAACTCCGGGATGTAGACAGAGGGCCGCGGGCGCATGGCCTCCATGTGCGGCCAGAGTTGCTCCTGCAGTCCCCAATCCAGTACCTGTGCGCGCCGCATTGCCTCCGCCAGGTTCAGCGAAGATATGTCCCAGCCTGGGGGGTACCCTCAAGCTCGGCCCGGCCCCAAGCCTCGGCCCCACCTCCCGCCCCACCCCCGGCCCAGGGCACCGCCCACCGTCGAACACGAGGTCGTCGGGCGCCACCATGGGCAGCAGTGAACTGAAGGGCACGAACACTTCCTTGCCCTCGGCGTCCAGGCCCAGGCTAACAGTGCCGGCCTGCGTCAGCGAGCCGTAGTAGTTGGCCTCCTGGGGGGCGGCAGTGGGAGCGCAGTGAGAGGTGGGCGTGGCGTGGGGAGGGCCTCGAGCAGGCCAGGGCCCCGCCCAGCACCCGCAAGCTCCGCCCTGCTTTGGGCACCTCCCCTCGGAGCTCTAAGCCTAGGCGGAAGCCGCTCCGCTCGGGAGGTCCCACCCTGAAGCCCTCCCACACCTTAGGCTCCGCCCCCGCAAGACCCTGAGGAATCCCCGCCCCCCGTGGAAACCCCGCCCGGAGTCCGCCCGCAGCCAGAAACCCCGCCCCCTGTGGGCCCACTCCTCCGTAGGAGCCCCTCCCCCGCCGCAGGGATTCCAGCAAAGCCCTCTCTCCGACCGAGCCCCACCCGACTCCCACCTTGAGGCCGGTGCGCGTGGGCCAAGATAAGCGCAGTCTGTTGGCCAGCACGGCAGCGGTCAGCGTGGAGCCGTTGTTGCCGCCCCAGCCGACGAGCATGACCCCGAGCCGGGGCACCTGCCGGGCGGTCCGGAAAGTGAAGCGCGTGGACGTGGGGCGCACCTGGGGGTGGGCAGCGGGGTGAGCCAGGGACCGCAGGCCCCTCCCCGCTCGCTACTGCTGGGTCGGGGGTCGCAGACGTTGGGCAGTTCCCGCTCCCTCCCCGCTCCCTGACTCCCCCAGCCCCGTGGCCCGCCGAACGGCCCCTCGCCTACCTTGAGGATGCCGCCCTCGCGGCTGACGCTCGTCGTCCGGTACTCGTACTGCGCCTCGATGGTCTCGGGGCTGTAGATCACGTCGGGGCTCTCGACCACGAACTCAGTTGCGGCCTCCATCGCGACAATCTGGGGGCGCGGGGTTGGCAGGAGGTCAGCGGGGTCCCAAGAACTGGCTGGGCCAAGCCGACTTCGGTCCCCGGGGAGCCTGCACCCCTCCCGGGGCGGCACTCACCGATGCGGAGTCGGCTGGGGCAGCGGCAGACGGCTAGGGCTCGGGGCGCGCGAACTCCAGAGAAAAGAGCCGTGGCTCCACCCCCGCTCCGCCCCTCGCCCCGCCCGCTCGCGGGAGGAGGGGCGCTCGCGGCCGGGGGTAGGGCGCGCGCCGACCTTGGGCTCGGGTTCGAGGTCTTTCGGTCCCAAGCCTCAGCGGCTGTCTGGTTCTTGGCCGGTCGGGCAAATAACCTGGGCTCCAGGCCCCGGCCCTAACTCGGCCCGCGTGAGTCACTTAGGACCCCCGGCCGCCTATCCCCACTGTACAAAAGAGGGCTTTAAAGCTGTAAGGGAGCGTCAAGCCCCAGCCACGAGGCGGAGTTTGAGTTAGGCTTGGAAACTCATTATTTGGTGGGTTGGAGGAGGGGGCGTCTCAGGAGAAACTAAGGCAAGGGAAACTGAGGCAGAAGACCAAGCGAGGAATCGAATTTCAAAGCGTGACACTCGTCCAGCCCAGGCTCCCTCCTCTTCCCCTTCTGGAGCAGCGGTCAGACTCTCCACTCCCACGGGGCTCGCCCCGGGGAGGGGGGTAAGGAGGTGGCTGTGAGTTCTCGGTGCCCCCACCTGTAGCAGGAAGCCTATCAAGCCTATCAAGGTCAGGGCTGCGGTGGGGGCAGGGGGAGAGGCTGCTCCGTGGGGAAGCGAGGGAGCATCGGCCGGGCAGAGGGGAGGAGCTAGGCCTGCACAGCTCTGAGCCCCTCTAAGCGCCCAGTGATAAAGGAGCGTGGGAACCCGGCCGGCGGGCGGGGGCGGCTCCCCCAGGAACTTTCCAAAACAAGCGGCCTCCTCCGGCTGGAAAGTTTCCACCCCTGGAACTGACCCAAAAGGTGGATAGTTGGGAACGTTTGCAGGAAACATGGTCAGCGCCTGGCCTTGGGGAATGGGGGCTCTCAAACTAGTCCAGGCTTTGCCCTCAAGGGGCTCCAGTTGTGGGGGAGTCAGAAGTGAACTGGGGGGACTTCTCTGGTGGCCCAAGGGTTAAGAATCTGCCTGCCAATGCAGGGGACATGGGTTGGATCTCTGGTCCAGGAAGATTCTACATGCCACAAGGCAACTAAGCCTCTGCACCTCAACTACTGAGCCTGCGCTTCGGAGCCTGTGCTCCGCAACAAAAGAAATCACTGCAATGAGAAGCCCCGGCTCACCACAGCTAGAGAAAGCCTGAGCACCACAATGAAGTCCCAGCACAGCCAAGAATAAGTAAAGAGAAGTGAGGGCGGCACTCCCAACCAGAGGGACCTGAGAGGCAGTGGTGGGCAGGGCAGCCTGCCTGCAAGAGATGGCTGCTGGACGGTGTCTTGAGATAATGAAGACATCTCTTATCAAAGAAAGATATGAAGAGCTGCCTAGACAAAAACCTGGGGGACTGGTTTCAGGGGCAGATGAAAAAGGGCTGGATGGATGCGAGGGGGAGGGAGGCAGTTTGGGGACCAAGGCAGACCCTCAGGCCTGGGGACAGGGCATTTGGTATATTTGGGTTTTGTCCCACTTTCTGGCTTGGAGATTGAGTTTGATCACTAATTGCCAGGGGCTTCCCTGACAGTCCAGTAGTTAAGACTCTGCATTTCCACCGCAGGGGGCTGGGGTTCGATCCCTAGTCAGGGAACTAAAATCCCGCATGCCCAGAGGTGTGGCCTAAAATTAGAAGACAAAAAAAAATGATCAATGGCCAGTGATTTATTCAACCATGGAACCTCTGTAAAAGCTCCTAAACAATGGGGTGCAGGTGAAAACATGGAGATGCTGGGAGGGTGACGCCTGGAGAAGTCATGGCAGCCCTGTACCATTCCCCACACCCCTGATTTATGGTGGGTTGTTCAGAAGTATGGGTGGCCAAGGACTCGAGGCTGCTGTCTGAAGTGGGGACCTGTGGGCCATAACCTGGGGACGGAACTGTCTGACCCCTGGTTGGTATTGGAGAACCTGCAGGAGCTGGAGCTCTCCAGGCCACAAGTCACACCACAGAACTGTGTAAAGACCCAGCCCTGGGGAAGCCCAGCATTTACAGGACAGCCTGTGGGAGGTGCTGGCAGGAGGGGTGCGGGCAGAGCAGGCCCAGGCATGCTCCCTGGAGGGGCCGTGTTGGAGTAGTTCCGGCTACTGCTAACACTACTAGTAGTAACTACTAGTAGGGACCAGCTGGGGGTGTGACATGGGGTGAGTGTGCTGCCTGCGGGTGAGCACTGAATGACCAGGGACCCCCCACCCCACCAGACCGCAGGCTTCCAAGGGCAAGGGCAGAACTGTCGTGGTCACTGCTGAGTGCCCACGCCTGGAAGGAGCCCGGGGCATGGGAGGGGCTGATGCACCCAGGTGCTGGCAGATGTTGTCCAGCAAGTGGCAGGGACTGGTGGGCAGCCCTGAGCCCTGTGGCCGTGCTGTGGGTTGTGAAGGCGCAAAGTCCCCTGGAGACCTGGACTTGGGTGTCTTGGGCTCAGAAAGGATGGTCAGGGAACTGCCTGTGGCCACAGGGCTGTGGGGGAGGCCGGTAGGCAAGGCGAGCCTGAGGCGAGACGAGGCTGAAGCAGGCAGGGGTGTGGGGACAGAGATTTATCCACTAGAACAGCGTGGCGGGGCTACCTAGGGAGCAGGGTACACTCTGCCCCGCAGGGCCTGCCTGGCCTCCCCTCCCGTGCCCCTCAGATTCCTGGGCTGCTTCAGAACTCAGGCCAAGGCCACTGGCCAGCAGGGCCACCGGGCGGCTAAGGCCCACAGCCCCTGACCCCTGGGCCCCTTTAGTCCTGGTCTTACTCTTTGTTTTTCCTTCCTAAAATAAACATTCCCCTCCACTGTGTCCTTGGAGGGTAGAAACGCTCCCTGCCTTCTGCTCCTCACCTGATGGCTCTCCGGCTGGTGTCCTGAGCCTGTGGGGCTCCACTGGGCCTCAGGCTCGGTACCCCTGTCCCCATGGCGGGGCAAGGGAAGCCCCACCCCCAGCCCAGTGTGCGGCCCAGGAGGACTAATCAAACAGTGCTGTTACCCAGTCGTTTCCATCAGCCAAAGCTCGTGAGCCCAAATCAAGCACTCCCTTTGCTGCACACGGCTCCACTACTGGGGGCTTTGGCCCTGGGGTCCCCCTGCCTGGCTCAACCCACTCTGTGCACGCCACAGGGGCAGAGCTCTGCTTATGTGCCTCCACGGCTCCCCAAGGCCTCCGCCTCCCGTCTGTCAGCTCCCACCTGCGAGCAGGCCGGCTGGTCTCCCGCTCTGGCACCTGCAGGGCCCTCTGCCTCAGGTCCGCCATCCACCGCCAACCTCATTCCTGGGCAGTGGCTGTGGTAGGCTGCCCGCCAAGCTTTCACTATGCTCAGCCCATGCCCCCCCCCCAGTCACCCCATGGCCAGGTGGCCTCCTGACCCCAGTCCCCCCACCCCTGGGGAATGACACATATACTCCCAGCTTGGGCTGACAGATTCAGTTCAGTGAATTTATTGTAGGTTGAAAAAAATCAGCATTCACCTGTTTAGTGTACAAAAAGGACACTAGATCTTTTAAGAAAATATTAGGAAACTGAAGATGCAGACGTCTTTCAATTGTAACATTTTGGCAAAAGTGAAAAGTTCTTGTAAACACCAACTCCATGGCTCAAAATAGTTTTTCTCCACAGTACAATATTAAAAGAAAAAAAAAAACAGTATCAATAAGTTAGACCATATTTAATCAGCTAGAACTTTTGTCCATCAACCCCCGCCCCAAGCACAAAACTCCTCTTAGCTTCATAATTCCTTAAAAGGAGAAAATAAACAACAACAACAAAAAATGAGGAGGAGGAGGAAATTCAACCGAGAGTCCTTTGAACTGGACCCCAGGGCAGAGGGCAGGTGGGCCCTCTGGGGTGGGGCCCCCCTCGAGTGATCCCGTGCCACTCGAGTCTGCCCGTCCAGGCTGAGTACATGATGGCTGTTCACAGAACTCAGGGTCCCAGGTCTGCTCAGTCTGTCCCCCTCCAACCCAAATGAAAAACGAAACGACAGCTATTGAAACATAAAGGATCAGCTTCCTCAGCGCTCCGGGCACCCCAGGGGTGCTGGGGTGGGGTGGGGGCACTGCAGGCATGACTGCTCTTTGGGAAGCCATCAGGAGACACCCCCGCAGCTTAGAAAAATAGACATGTCTATGCGAGCATTTCCGCTCTCCCTGCCTCACTAGGATCCTGGCAGCAACCCCTGCCCCCGCTCCCCGCAGTGACCCCGGGGCTGGGGGTTGCAACCAGCCCCACGGCCTTCCTCCGTCGTGGCTTCGCTGAACGTGGCTCTGAATTCACGTGAAGGCGCGCTTTAGACCCCAGCACGGCCTGGCAGGGCCCCACGAGCGTACACGCGCGCGCACACACACACACACACACACACACACGTCCCCTGACGCTTTCAGGGACATCAGACTAGGCACAGTGACTAAGCAGCAAATGGGTGTCCTGGGGCCAGCACCCCCAGAGAGGGGGGATGAGGCACCTCTTCTGAGCTCACTCTCCAGGGGCTCCCTGGCCCCCTCGACCCCCAGCCCCTCCCTGAGTGCAAACCCCGTGGGGGCTCTGCAAAAAGGACCCCAGAACCCACACGTGGGGCCGAGGGGCGGAGCGAGATCCAGAACACGGGGACCACTTGGCCTGAGCAGTACCAAGTGAGGAGCAGCAGCGGAGAGAATGGGGAAGACAGCGAGAGAAAATCCGACGCTGGTGCTGCAGAGCGCGCTACAAGCACAGAAGCTCCCAGTGACCCCCGACAGCTGAGGGCCTGGAATAGCAAGGCGGGCCTGGTGGCTCCCAGCAGCTGCTCCTGGGCCAGCTGGAGTTTTCCAAATAGAGCTGCAGGGTTTGCACGGCCGAGCCCCACTCGGAGCCAGGGAGAGGGGGTGTGTGAGACCAGCGCAGGGGAGGGGCCCCCGGCGCCCCCACACCGGTCCTCTCCTCCAAGCTCAAGCTCGCAGAGGCAAGGCCAGACTTCCGGAGCATCTGTAATACTGTAGAAAGGACCCAGGGCAGCGTCTGGACCCTGGGCGTCCAAGGAGGGGAGGCACAGGTGTAGAAAAAAGATGCTTTTTCTTTCGTACAAAAATAG